GTCTTCAGTGGGAGGTAGTGAGAAAGCAGCAAGGCATTTTGACAGGGCCTCATGAAAATAACAGCAGTGTAAAACTTCTTTTTTTAATTACCAGATAATGCTGGCAGACATCGCCGATCCTCATAACATCTGAGAACTCCTGAGAGAGATGAGACTCTCAGAGGAGCAAGCTTAGTGTTAGGAATGGGATAAGGTGTCTGTTTTGCACGTTCCTGGGTATTTTTAAAAATCTGAGAACGTTATGGTCCATTTGTTTGTGCTGAAGGTCATTTTGTTTTTGGTTGCATCAAAATGAGACCTACACAGAAAGAGCCATGCCAAATTACCATGTACTCTCCAGAAGCTGGCCTGGTTTTAATCGTTTTCTTTATTTCTGAAGCTTATACGGGTCATTTTGTTTTTGGTTGCATCAAAATGAGACCTACACAGAAAGAGCCATGCCAAATTACAATGTACTCTCCAGAAGCTGGCCTGGTTTTAATCGTTTTCTTTATTTCTGAAGCTTATACAATCTTCATGTATAGTATAACACAGAGTATTTCCAAGATGCTTTTCACCCAGGTAACATCACATCTGATTATTGTCTATAAATCTTTTCTAGTGTGACATCTGTAGATCACAAACCAAATAAAGACATTTTACAAATTTCAATGCTGTCAAAACAACTGCAGATGTTATGGACAGTACTTGGGAGCACACTGCTATGAGGCACTTAAATATATTTAAAATGTTGCCTTTCAAAAGCATCATCACCGTACATCACTCTAATGTGAATTTAAGCGTCATGCTAATAAATGCTACAAAGCAAGAATCAATTTACCCTGGAACAAAAACTTAAGACACACAGTATTCTCAATTGAGTTATATTTAATTGAAGTGATTTGTACATATTACTATGAGTGTATTTGACAAATATGAGAAACAAGATGTAATATCCCTACCTTGTGTCTGTTTCTTGTTCACTGCGTTGTCGGCTTTATGTCGTTTCTAAAGTTTAAAAGCAAAAAGAACAACTGTGAAAAAGCGAATGAGACTAATAAAACAAAGGAGCACCCACAACAAAAGAGAGACTTCTTATGTTTCACAAGGTTTTTATCCTTTCACACTCATGTCAATGTTATAACTATGCATCGACAGGGGTGTCGTGATAGGATGAATCCGAGGGCACTCAGGAATTGTAAAATTCAAAGCACAGTCCACAGCATCCTCACACAACACTCCTCTTCTGGGAGCAGAGGTTTGTGGTCCTCAGAAAGATCTTACATTACCATGTGAGTAAGAGTAAAATTTTAATGTACTAGAAAAGTTTGAACTGAAAGACTGATTTAGTCTTCTGCTTAAATAACTCACTTACAAAAAAAGATTGCCTGCAAGAATTATCTATAATAACTACTATTTCATAATGGTATTGAAATATTTTCAGCTTCTTATGAAATTCATTATCTAATTAAGCTGAGTACATCCTCTATAGTTTAATGATGTGCTGATGTCTGTCAATGACTAGAACCAAATACACCTACATTTGCATACAGCCTCTTCTATTCACTGCTCCCCAACACTCCCCACCCCCCACCACTTGCATCCATAGCCACTGAATCAGAGGATCCTATTTTCCTTCCTCCCAAAAGCACCTACAAAATTAAATGGCAAACGAGTGAGTTAGTCCAAGTCTAGGTCGGTGAGTTTCAGAGTTACATAAGCCAAGTTTTTATAGCAGTGAGTAAGAAAAAGAAACAGAAGGTCAGAAGAAAGGTGAGAATTTAAGTAGCCAGAGAAAACTATCTTCCCTAAGGTTCCACTAGAGTTTTTCCATAGCTTCCATCTAAACTTACAGCATCAAGTATAACACATCTGACTCCGTTAACATTGCAGAGAAGTGTTGAGCGTAACTAAGTCTCTGCCCAAAAACTCTACCATATTTAGGTCAAATTGAGCTGAGCATACCTGACTATAACAAGGGTTGAAACAAATGTAAAACAAGTGAGGTCCTAAGTTTTCCATTTGAGAAAAAAATATGGTTTTTAGAATCACAGTGCACATATGAAAACACTCCCCACAAGAAAAGCCTAGAGTTGTGGATTAGCACTCCTGCAAGATACAGCAACACCCAAGAGGAGTGGAATAGCTGGCAGCATGAACTCAGTCCAAACAATCAGCCACTGAACTGCACAAAACGCAAACAGGCATTCAAAACGCCTCTGTGGAAAAACTGTTGCAAATGATTCTTGCCACATCCACATGCAAGAACACACTATAACTCTTTCTCAGTAGAAAATACTAATAATAGTGTATTGATGTAGACTTTCAATAGGAATATTTATCACTTCCAAAAGTAAGCATGATTTGTCAGAAAACTATTCTTAAATACATTTTTAAAGTTCTGTTACAATTGCAGCATCAGTAGAAAATATTTTATAATTGTAAAACTCCAAAAAATACTGTTTCTGTTTGTTTGTTAAAAACAATTGTAGGGCCGGCCCGGTGGCGCACTCGGTAGCGCACTCGGTAGAGTGCGGTGCTTGGGAGTGCGGTGGCGCTCCCGCCGAGGGTTCGGATCCCATATAGAGACCGGTCCGCTCACTGGTTAAGCGCGATGCAGGCGCGACACCGAGGGTCGCGATCCCGTTGCCGGTCGCGGTACGGGCGTGACACCAAGGGTTGCGATCCCGTTACCGGTCACGAAAAAAGACAAAAAGGAAAAAAAAAAAAAAACAATTGTAAAAAAAATTAGAAACTAACCTAAAATAAATTTTGGTCTGAAATAATGGCCCAACATATATTCAGATATACAAANATCACTTCCAAAAGTAAGCATGATTTGTCAGAAAACTATTCTTAAATACATTTTTAAAGTTCTGTTACAATTGCAGCATCAGTAGAAAATATTTTATAATTGTAACACTCCAAAAAATACTGTTTCTGTTTGTTTGTTAAAAACAATTGTAGGGCCGGCCCGGTGGTGCACTCGGTAGAGTGCAGCGCTTGGGAGCGCGGCGGCGCTCCCGCCGAGGGTTCGGATCCCATATAGAGACCAGTCCGCTCACCGGTTGAGCACGATGCGGGCATGACACCGAGGGTTGCGATCCCATTGCCGGTCACGGTACGGGTGCAACACTGAGGGCTGCGATCCCGTTACCGGTCACGAAAAAAGACAAAAAGGAAAAAAAACAAAACAATTGTAAAAAAAATTAGTAACTAACCTAAAATAAATTTTGGTCTGAAATAATGGCCCAACATATATTCAGATATACAAAGGAGGTATGAATATTTCCAAAGTAATGCACATCTATGACAGACAATGGTTAGACTTCCAACTGAAGGAGAAAAATAAAAACTAATTAATGGAACATTCCACTTCAAACAGGAAATTTAATCTTAGTGAAACCTAAGGTGATCCTGAACATTACTTTCCACCTACAGAGAATTCTTGCACAGGAACATCTCTTTCCTCAACCTTCCCACCACAGAATAAACTAGGTTACTTGTCAAGAAACAAGTGTATTCGATATACATAAGAATCCATCCAAATAGGCAGACTCTAACCTTATTACTGCAAAAAGAAAACATCTAACTTTTGTATTATAAAGAGATCATCATCCCTTCAAAAACTAATAGTTCAGAAAAGAATGAACAGTTACTCTCTGAGTTCGAATACCCCCACTATCTTAGAATTTATTTATTATCACTGAGAGTTACTGAATTATTTAACAGTATCAATATATGATTGACAGTACATCAATAAGCTGTACTGTATCAATAGTGCCGTGAACTTTAGGATACTAAACGTATGCATGCTGACCGCTCCCTCCTTCCAGAAACCCCTCCCTCTCTAGGCACTTCCTATCACATCACTGCCCAGGTTTTCCACTGTCCCTCGGCCCCTTCTTGTCTGCACTGTGCACTCGCCATGCAGTGATGGGCTTCCTCCAGGCTTACTCTCTGGTCCTCCTCACTTCATACTCTACATTCTCTTCCTAGCTCAACTCTTTCATACTTGCAGTTTCAATCATAATCGATACATAGATATACACTGGCCAAGACTCATCTGAGATCCACACAGTTATATCCAGTTGCCTCCTTGACGTTTCCCACTGGCAATCTCAAAGGCACCTCAAACTGCATCCACAAGATAATCCGTGATCTTAACCCCTGAAACTTGGTCCTTGTCTCAGACATGGAACAATACACCACAAACCAGGAACTTGAGAGTCCTTCTTGCACCTTCTTCTCCCTCTCATTCCTATCCAATCCATTTCTTCACTCAATTAATATTAACTAAAACTTACTATGTGCCAGGCCCTGTTACTACTGCTGAGGATACAGCAATGAACAAGAGACAAAACCCCTTCTCTCATGGAGTTTACCTTCTAGCAGTTGGAGACATAAACAAAATAAGGAGGACATGCAGCATGTTGAATAGGTGGTAAGTCTTGCCAATTTTACTCTTAAATATATATTGAATCCAGTTTTCCACTTTTCTCCATCTCTACCACACCACTTAGTCCAATATATATTTATTTTTTACACCAACTACTAGAATATTTTTCTAACTAGCCTGCCCAAATCCTCTGTTTTCCTTTCAATCCATTTTCCATCATTTAGACAAAAGGATCATTGGAAGATGACAATACAGTCAACATCTATTCATCACTTACTATACACTAGGCACTGTTCTAAGGACTTATGTGCATCATTTAATCCTCATAATAGTCCAGTGTTGGGCTGGCCCGGTGGCGCACTGGAGAGTGCACCGCTTGGGAGCGTGGCGGCGCTCCCGCTGAGGGTTCGGATCCCATGTGGAGACCGGTTCCCACTCACTGGTTGAGCGCGGTGTGGGGCGCAACAACGAGGGTTGCGATCCCGTTGCCGGTCCCCAGTACGGGCGCGACACCGAGGGTTGCGCGCAACACCGAGGGTTGCGATCCCGTTGCCGGTCCCGGGTACAGGCGCAACACCGAGGGTTGCGATCCCGTTACCGGTCAGTAAAAAAGACAAAAAGGAAAAAAAAAATAGTCCAGTGTTATTACTTGATTAATGTCTCTCTCCTCTACTGGACTGTAAGCTCCATCAAGGCTACTTTTACTTACTAGCAAATTCCCAGAATTTAAACCCTATACATGGTAAACTTTGAAATAAATATTTGTTTCATAATGAATAAAGTCTACTAGTGTTTAAGTTTATAGCAAAGAAGAAATGTTTTTAGTTGTGAATATTTATCAATTTAACAACCAACCTTGATCTTTACCATAAGAAATGGCATTTGACATGACGCAGCTTTTTAAAAAAGAGTTGTCCATCAGTTTCAGAGTATTTTCAAGTCAGTATGTATGTCATTTGTCACTTACACATAAAAATAGGAAATCATATTATGTTAAGCTGTCCAAAGCATCAAGAGTTAAAATGTACTTCGGTGGATAAGTATCTCACTTGACAGCAATTCTTTTTATATTCTATTCTAAAGCTTTTTGTAAAAAAATGGTTTAATAAAATATAAGGGAAGGCTTATTAGAATGTAAATGCTGTCTTATTCACTGACAGAGGAGTGGCAGACATTACTAGTCTTCATCAATATCCAGTTCTCTACTTCCACAGACACTGAGATAACACCTCCTCCTTGCCATGTTTCTAGTTCTAATATTAGGATGTAAACAGATGTGATGTGCATCATTTATGGGCCAAAACACAGAAGTGAGATCTCCATTCCCTCTCCCATCCCCTGCTGCAGCAGAAACATGACTCAGGCTGCACCCCCAGGGACACTCTCTGCTCTCCAACCCCAATGACAACCTGCAGTACAAAGTTGTCTTAATGACAAATTTGAGTACGTGAAAAATAAACATGTATATTAAGCCACTGACACGTGGGGCATAATTATTACCGCAGCAAAAGTTTAACATATCTTATTAATACCCTAATGAATGCTTCACACCTAAGTAGTATTTTATATATTTTTGTTGAATAAATGAATGAATATATGTATTCATTACAATTACTGATAAAGAGAATTCTTTTGTCCAACTATGATTTGATTTTTTTCCTTTTCTAGGGACTTCTATTTCTAACTTTCTATCCCTTCATAGTTTGACTTCTCGTTAAACTACTCTTCCAGACCATTTGTAACCAATTTCTTAACACTGATTTCACTGGCAAACTACTTCATATGACACTATTGTTGCCTCACAACACTATTAGTACATCCTTCAGGGACTGCCCAATCAGCTGCTTTCTAATAGCACCCAAATATTACATTATACCAATGAGTTCTGTTAAAACAAAATAAAAAAACCCACACATTTCTTGGATACAATTTTACTTCTCATGTATTTTCAAAGACTGGGGTACTAGAAACCATAGCTAGTGTACTTATAACTTTGCTAGGGAGCCCTTCAAAAAGTAGAAGAGGCAACTTATAGGAGTGATTATAAGGCAGGGCTCTGCGGCCAAACTGCCTCGTTTGAATTCTGACAGTCCCAGTTATCAGCTGGGTCTTCTTGGATAAGTTACCTGACCCCTCTGCCTCCTCTTCCTCATCCGTAAAATGGGGATAAGATCAATAATACCTTAAAGGGCTGTTACAGGATTTAATAAAAGTAAAAGACATAGAGCAAGAACATGGAACCCAGAAGCACAATAAATTTTATTAATATTATTGATGACTCTCCACAATAATACAGAGCAAGGAGCACTGGATGGATTGGAATTCTGATTCCATTACTTTCTTGGACAAGTTATATGAGCTCTCTAAGCCTCAGCTTCCTTACTGATGGAGTTTGGATGTGTTGTCCCCTCCAAAACTCATGTGGAAATCTGATCCCCAATGTGGCAGTGTTGGAAACTGTCTGAGTCATGGGGGTGGATCCCTCATGAATGGATTAATGCTCTCCCTGGGGGAAGAAGGGTAGGGAGTGAGTTCTCACTCTATTAGTTCCCTTGAGAGCTGATTGTTTAAAAGACCCTGGCACCTCCTCTCTCTCTTGCTTCCTCTCACCATGTGATCTGCTTGTACCCGCCAGCTGCCTGCCACCTTCCACCATGAGTAGAAGCAGCCTGAGGCCTGTGCCAGATGCAGCTGTCCCAGAATCATAAGCCAAATAAACCTCTTTTACTTATAAATTACCCAGTCTCAGGTATTTCTGTTATAGCAACACAAAACAGACTAAAACACTTACCTTTAAAATGGGGCCAACATCCAACTCTCAAAGTTATTGAGGGAATTAAATGAGAAAAACATTTGCAAAAACAGTACTACAATGCTTAGTAATAACAGGTGCTCAATGAAAATTAGGTTACATTAAGAAAGAAAAGGGAGTACATAAGGCAAAGAAAAAAACAAAATTTCAATAAAGACCAATCCCTATGGACTGCCAAATCCAATCATAATTTAAAGGATAACAAGCCTTCTTTCATTACTAAACTACAAACATAATAGAACACTGTAATAAGCATTCTGCAATATTAACCCTATAGAAATCACCAGGAATTATTAACTTCAGGGGTAGGAACATATTCTATATATTTTTAAGTTGAATGTGTATTTTAAACAGCTTATGCTAAGAATCAAATAACTTAAGAAGAATCTAAGACTTTTAAAAAAGATATATAAATAAAAGGGACTCACATTTATTTATGAAAAAAATGAAATACTTACAATATCTTCTATTATTTCTTTGACAGCTGCCACAGCTAAAATAAATAAGAGAGGAACCAGTGTTGTGTAACGACCTGTTGGTGATACATCAGGTATTTGCTAATTGAAGAAAAAAGAAGCAAGAGAAATCCAATGAGAACTATAAAGTTTATAACAGATTTAAAAACAACAAAGTCTTAATGTCTTCTAAAATATGTCTCATTGATTTTACTATCTTGGCAGACAAACAATGGGTAAAGCCATTTGTTCATCTCTATTAGCTGGAAGAGCATGTTAATTGGCTTCCTAGTAAGCAGTTGCATATAGGACCTATATTTATAATGTGGGACTGGTTATATAAATTATAGTATATCTACATATTAATATATCACATAACCATTAAACATGGCATTTTAGAAACATAAGGAATACCTGGGAAAATACCCATACATTATTATATGAATAAATCAGATTACAAAATAATATGTACTGTATGATCCCCTTTTTGTAAACTAAATCAATTCTTGGGGAAATAAAAGACCAGAGGGATACACATCCTAATTTTTTAAAGAGTAGTTGCCTCTGGTGGTGGAATAATAAGGGTTTTAAATTTTTTTCTTCACGCTTTGTTGTGTTTTTGAATTCTTTTTTATGATAAACATATGTTACTTTTTAATAAAATAAAACTTTTTTTCCTGATTATAACTAACTCAAATACAAAGAGAAACACAAGTTCTAAAGTGGTGATGCTTGCATTCTAAGGTTCAGAACCGATACTTTTACCGCTACAAAAATAAATTAATAGTTTAAGAAAATGTCCCATTTTACCACCCCAAATGAATAGTCTTTACCACCCAAAATGAATAGTCTTTGCCACATCAAATTTATAGAATGTCTAAAATAAGCTGATAAAGTGAATCAAAAGGCTTGAAGAGGTAGCGGAATTCTGACAGTGCTTGCAGCAGGAGCCAGAAATGTTCACCAAAATCAGCTCATCACTCTACATTCAGATAACCGTCAGGGAATTGGTCATGGACTTAACCAAAACACTTATTAATACCTGAACATTTGACTTTGAACTAAGGTTTGATGATGTGACTTTACCTGAAGCAGTGCAATAAAGAGAAAAAATGAATTAGCAGCTCTTCTGAACTGAGAGTAGAGAAATCTTGGAAGGAAGGTGATTATGTTGTATTTTGCAGTGCTAGAAAACAAAAATAAAAAGTAACATGAAACTTAATTATTGTGCAATTAGCACCCATGCTTAGGAAGTTCTGTTACAACTATTTAAAAAATTAGATGATGAACATATCACATGTCCACTGTTTCAAGTTGGGAGACTATTGCAAAGGGTCACTAACTTAAATTAAAAAGAGTGAAAGGAACTGGCCTAAATAAATAGTAAAGATTAAATACCACAGGTTTTATTTTCTGCATAATATCTTTTGTCCTCTTTGGCCAGTTATCCTGCTTAACATTACTCGGCGCAGCTTACAAAGAACAACTTTAGATAAGACAGTGTATAACACATTAATAGAATATAAAATCTTGCAAAAAAAAAATCAGCAATTTGAGGAGGACCAGACACTACACAGAAATGCCTCTCCTGGATAACTTGAAGGAAATGGGGAGTTTTCCAGGGTTCTGCCTGAATTTTCTTTACGGCCACTCTACGAACTTAGCAAGGACTCCACACTAAACACATCAGATATTCCCACAATCAATAATACAGTACCACTTAGGTCTTAGGAAACTCCCTATTTCCCTGAAGTTATCTAGGAAAGGCACCTCTGTTTACAGTGTCTGGTCCTGCTCCAATTGCTGATTGTTTTTCAATATTTTATTTCCTATGAACATATTATACACTGTCTTATCTAAAGTTGTTCTTCTCTGTAAGCTATGCCTAGTAATGTTAAGCAGGATAACTGGCCAAAAAGGATAAAAGATATGCAGAAAATAAAACCGGTAGTATTCACTCTTTATTACTGGAAATGTCCAGATCTTCCTCTTGTTTATTAAACAGAAAGGAGACACATGCTACATTCTCCAAAGCTGCAAATATTAATTTTGAATGGGCACTTCTCAAATTTGGAAATTCTGCTACTGGAGAAACACTGGGGTAGCACTGGGTGAGTTCACTTGGTCCCAGAGGTCACTTAGTGACCAGTGCTTACACAGATACTTTTTATATTACTATTAGAATAAAAACATAACAGTACAGTGACATAATCCTCATA